AAACCGGCCGGCAGCAAATGTGAGCGGTGGCACCCGGGTCCCGGGCGGGAGGCAAGGGCAGAGGAAGGGGCCGGCAGGACAAGGGCGGGAACTGGGGTGCCTGACCCGGCGGAGAAGGAGGCCTAACTCCGCGGACAGCTCCGGGCTCTGGGAGATGAAGGGCAGCACTGGCTAACATTGGGAACGGATGTTGTGGTTGAGGGGACCCTCAGGTGCATCGGGGACTCCAGCACTGGTGCCCTTCCCCACCCCACCCCCTTTCCCCATTAGATGGCTGTAGTGATTGCTCGAGTGAGTGACCACGCCCCCTTTCCTCTCCCTCCGCCCCCTCCCTTTGCTGCTGGGCCACAGCCCAGAGTCCCAGGGAGTGATCAGCGGTGCTGTTTTCCTTATCATCCTCTTCTGCTTCATCCCTTTCCCTTTCCTGAACTGCTTTATGGAGGAGCGGTGTAAAGCCTTCCCGCACCATGAAGTAAGTGGGTGAGTGGGGGAGGTTGCTTGTGGCCGGGGTCTGGGAGCTACCTGAGAGAGTTGGGGTTATTTGGGTTTGGGTGGAGGGGCTGAGAATCCAGCGAAAAGACAGGTATTTTTGAAAGGTGAGGTGGGCGTAGGCTTGAGCTGTGACCTGCCCGAGCCTCCCCCAGTTTGTGGCCCTGATAGGTGCGCTCCTTGCCATCTGCTGCATGATTTTCCTGGGCTTTGCGGACGATGTACTGAATCTGCGCTGGCGCCATAAGCTGCTGCTGCCTACAGCTGCCTCACTACCTCTTCTCATGGTCTATTTCACCAACTTTGGCAACACGACCATTGTGGTGCCCAAGCCTTTCCGGCCGATTCTTGGCCTGCATCTGGACTTGGGTGAGTAGCCCTGCCACCGCGGCCCCTGTGGCCCCTACTTCAGGGCACCCTTACCCTGGGAGATATCTAGCAGAGCATCATTCCTGGTGCTCCAGATTCTCCTCCAAGTGTCCCTGACTTGTCCCTGTGTCTTCTCAGATCCTTTCTGTTGGTCCTTCGTCTGATCCTCTGTCCCCACCACTTTTCTCAGCAGAATATCCTTGAGTCCTCATTTCAATGGTACAACTTTTTACTGTCTTCTTCCCCCAGGGATCCTGTACTACGTCTACATGGGGCTGCTGGCAGTGTTCTGTACCAATGCCATCAATATCCTAGCAGGAATTAATGGCCTAGAGGCTGGCCAGTCACTGGTCATTGCTGCTTCCATCATCGTCTTCAATCTGGTGGAGCTGGAAGGTAGGTGCGATTAAGAGGAGAGAAGTCTGAGTGTTAAGGAAGTTGCCTGATACCTGGCTTTGGGGATTTTGGGGGGGCATAAAAGCGATATATTAAGATTTATTAAATGTAAGAAAGAAAAATAGCAAGCCCTGTCATTTTTAGCTGGATTGGCACTAATAGGTAGGCCATGGTCTTCTATGGAACGTAAACGATTTCACAGAACTTCCAAGTCAGACAGGGTCACTCTATGACCACTATAGAGTAAAACCAATCCAGGTAGAACCGCATTTTGTGCATCCCTCAAAAATGACTAAGGTCTCCCTCTTCTGGCTAACGTGAGCAATTGCTGCTTCCTTCTGATAACTCAGTTCCTCCTACTTTTTAGATGAAACTAAGATGCTCAGTCACAGAATTACTTCGACTGACTGCACCCAGTCTAGGGCAAAACTCCACCTCCTTGCTTTCTCCCCAGAATTACTTAAAACGAATCCTATAACACATCCTCCTAATACTCCCTTACTAAGGCATCTCATGGTTGCCTATGATGTGTGGTCTCCAGTGTCTCCCTTGTTACAAGTCAGTAAACCCAGCTTTGACTGCTTGTGTGTTTCTGGTGGTCTTTGGCTGATAAGCACTGATATCAGTGTTTATTAAAACTAACCACTTTAGTGAGCATTATCTCATTTAAACTTTGTAACATGTGGCAGGGGTTCTCGTGAACCGTATTTTATAGTTGAGGAAACCGAGGGCTAGAGAATTTAAACGTGTCATGATTGAGGTCACACAGGAAGTAAATCTGGTATTTAAACCTAGGTCTGACTGATCTAAACCAAATTGAAGACAGTAACTCATTTAGGAAGGGTTCGTGAATGAGGTGGAATATTAGGAATTGCCTGGGTGACACAAAAAGGGTGGTGAGTTCTTGAATGTGACTTGGAAGAGGTGGAGAGTACAGCTTGGGACAAAAATAGGACCCAGGTATGCAAGGGAAGCACCTATCAACTTTTCCTTCTTTCTTTTTCCCTTGCTTCCAAAGGTGATTATCGGGATGATCATGTCTTTTCCCTCTACTTCATGATACCCTTTTTTTTCACCACCTTGGGATTGCTCTACCATAACTGGTAAGTGGGCCTGTGGCTAGGGGGATAACTGTGTGATCATAGAATGAGTATGGTCCTGGTCATGACCCAACTCCTGGAGAGGCTAAACCTGTGCACACCTATGTTGAGTGTTTTCTGGGTCTCCAGTTGGTGATATTCTTCAATTGCTTTCTGCCCAGTCGCAGTTAGGGACAAGTACTGTGGAGCCCCCAGGAAGAGATGAATGCAGGGCCTTGGGTCCTGGACAGTTGCTGGAAGAGGCAGAGTCTCCTCTGGGCCAGAACTAGAGTCAGGGCTAGCCCAGGGCCCAGGAAGTGTAATGTAAGAGAAAAGATGGATAGTGCCTCTTGCCACTGGCTCAGATCCTCTCCCCCACACAGGTACCCGTCACGGGTGTTTGTGGGAGATACCTTCTGTTACTTTGCTGGCATGACCTTTGCCGTGGTGGGCATCTTGGGACACTTCAGCAAGACCATGCTACTCTTCTTCATGCCCCAGGTGTTCAACTTCCTCTACTCACTGCCTCAGCTCCTGCATATCATACCCTGCCCTCGCCACCGTATTCCCAGGTAGCCACTTTTGGGGCTTGAAAGGGACATCGCAGCTTTTTCACTTGGGATGCGTAAAGCCAGCCTTATATGTCTGCTGTGCAAAGGGTGTGGGCCCAAAGAAGGGCTCTTTCCACATGGTTAGCCCTTACAAATCACAGAGCACATTCACCTACAGAGTCTAATCAGCTCTGATCACACAGTAGTAAGCAGAGCCAGAAATAGATCTTAGGTTGTTTGATGCCATGTTCAGAGCCCTTTCTATTAATTGACCGCAGTGAGGAGAGTTCTTGGAGTAGTGGCCCCGTCACATAAAGCTCTCTTCCCCCTGCAGACTCAATACCAAGACAGGCAAACTGGAGATGAGCTATTCCAAGTTCAAGACCAAGAACCTCTCTTTCTTGGGCACCTTTATTCTAAAGGTAACAGGGTAACAAGGAGGTAAGGCTCTAGGCCATCATTGGGAATTCAGGGACCGGGGATCCTGGGCCTGCATCAGATCCAAGGGGAGTTTGGAAGCACGAAGCAGATCCCCATTGCTGAAGCAGATTTGAAGTTCTCTCCACCTCTGGCCCCTCCAGGTAGCAGAGAGTCTCCAGCTAGTGACAGTGCGCCAGAGTGAGCATGAGGATGGTGCCTTCACGGAGTGTAACAACATGACCCTCATCAACTTGCTCCTTAAGGTCGTCGGGCCCATGCATGAGAGAAACCTGACTCTGCTCCTGCTGCTGCTCCAGGTGTGGTCGGGGAAGGGCTCTACATACAGCTCCCTGTCTGCCTTTCTCCATGATTCTGACTCTAGTGTGTTTCTCCTCACAGATCCTTGGCAGTGCTGTCACCTTCTCCATTCGGTACCAGCTTGTCCGGCTCTTCTACGATGTCTGAGTCCCCCGGTCCTTGCCCTTTACTGCACAGTCTGCAGGGTTCCTGACTCAGGCCGACCTCTTTCCTGACCGGGAATGCCTCCTGGCCCAGGCCTCTCCCACCTCTTATTCTCCCCCAGATTTTGTACTTAGTGATTCCATTCTGCTGTGATTATTGACACCCTGGGCCTGTCTTGCCCTCTACTGACTGTTGATTGGACTTTGCCTGTGGCTTCCTTCAACTTGCCACTCTCCCTCTCCGTCCCGTCTCATCTTTGCACCCTCCTGAGGTGGGATACTGCCGCTTTTATGCAGTTATCCATGACTCGGACTCTCGAGGAATATGTTGGGCCTGGGGATAGAGCCCTTGCTGGGGATAGGGACACAGGCTCGAAAATCACTTGATATTTGACTATAAATTAAGTATTCTGATTAGTAAGAGCAGACTGGGGGGCCAGGTGCTCCCGGTGGTGACAATAAAGTGTTGTCTTTTTCTTATTGTTGTTCCTGTAGGTATATCTCCTATATGGGCATCTTAGGGTAGATTGGGAGGGTTGGTGGAGGCACCTCCTCCAAGAGGATGCCTATGCCTCCGCCCCCTCCTTTTTCTTTCAGTACAGCAGGCTCCTTGTAGCAAGAAGTGAACAGAAAGAACTGCGACCAGACAGAACATGTTGAATAAATACTGAAATCCTCATACTTCGGTGGCAGGGAGGGCCATAAGATTGGAGATACCTTTGTCTGGTGTGGGACAGAATTTGGGGGGGGATCCCATTTCTTCCCCTTTTCACTTTCCCTTTGCAGGATGGGAGGAGGGAGAAAGGCGAAGAGAGTGACCAGACCTGGAAGGGGAGGCAGTGGCGCTGACCCCTTTCCTTTAAAAATCCTAAGCCCTCGCAGATTTCCCAGAGGCTCTAGAGGTGGCTCAGACTCCACCCCCTTTGTCTTCCGGTTCTGGTCTTCCCCTGTAGCGTTTAAATCTGGCGCCCTTCACATGGATTGGCTACCTCGGGGAGTGGGTGGCTGGCTGCGTGCTACCGCTCCTCCTCGCCTTTTTCCCCGGGCAAAAGGTTTTCAAATTGGACCAATCGGCGGGCGCGCTCCCTCAGCCGTGGCGCGTCACGGAAGGGTTAACTGCAACCAACCGGAGGCGGGTATTCGAGAAAAGAGCCAATCAGGAGGGCGCGGAGGTGTGCCCTGGGGGCTTATAAGGGCGGCCCCTGGGCGCGCGCGGCAGCAGTTGGACTGCGGCGGGCAGCTCTCCTTTGGCCCCGTTCGAGGCGTCCCTCTTCACCGCTCTTCTACCTCGCGCAGCATGTCGGGCCGCGGCAAGACCGGCGGCAAGGCCCGCGCCAAGGCCAAATCGCGCTCGTCGCGCGCCGGCCTCCAGTTCCCAGTGGGCCGCGTGCACCGGCTGCTGCGGAAGGGCCACTACGCCGAGCGGGTGGGCGCCGGCGCGCCGGTGTACTTGGCGGCGGTGCTCGAGTACCTCACCGCGGAGATCCTGGAGCTGGCGGGCAACGCGGCCCGCGACAACAAGAAGACGCGGATCATCCCCCGCCACCTGCAGCTGGCCATCCGCAACGACGAAGAGCTCAACAAGCTGCTGGGCGGCGTGACGATCGCCCAGGGAGGCGTCCTGCCCAACATCCAGGCCGTGCTGCTGCCCAAGAAGACCAGCGCCACCGTGGGGCCGAAGGCGCCCGCGGGCGGCAAGAAGGCCACCCAGGCCTCTCAGGAGTATTGAGGGGCGCCCGCGCCGCAGCCGGCCCCCCATGCCATCACAAAGGCCCTTTTAAGGGCCACCACCGCCCTCACGGAAAGAGCTGAGCCACGTCGGGCTCAGGGCGGGCGGCCGCGGCGCTCGGCTCCCCCCCTTCCCGCGTCGCCGCCGCCGCCCCTCCCCCGCGCGGGCTCGCCGGCCCTCGCTCCCGCCGCCGCCCACACCTGGCAACCCCCCCCCCTTTCTCCCTCTCTCTAGGTCTCTTCCACACAGCTGCCTCGGACGTCTCCGTCCACAGGACGTGCCCTTTCCTGCCTCAACCGCAG